CACCTTTCACATTTTTGTAACTTTCTATGCAACTGAATCTAGAGAATAAAGGCCTTTAATCCCTCCTTTCCCCCAAAAACTTGCAAAATGCCATCCCAAAGCAGGTTCAATATGTGCTGTTGCCTGTCATTTTCACCAATTTACAAAATGGCATCTCTTTATCTAGCACTGCCAGAATATATGGAATAGTAATGCATCTCTGCACTGCCTGGTAAGAATAACGTTGTTCACTTTTAATTTCTAAAATATTTGGCCTTGGTAATATTGTAAAGAAGAACTGAATCTTTAAAATAATGTTTTCATAGCTTGCAGGTGAGGCCAGCATTTATTGCCAACTGCTAAATGTCCTTTGAGAAGTTATCTGCTTCTACTTTGGCTGTGTCAGCATCATAGACTACATCACATTTCAACATTTTTAAACGTTAGGCTGAATTTCACCAAAAATCTGCTAAGTGTCAAGTTTGGTGATTTTTTCATGAAGGCTTTCTCCAAGCATGCTGACGAGATTTCACATGTTAGCTTCCAAAAATCACCTCGTTACCTGTGCACCTTGTCCCTGTGGCACCCAGTTTGTTGTATTGTACTTGCTACAGGTAGCAGTCCTTAGCGTTGCCAGGCCCTCCCAGGATTCCTGGCAGAGCACTATTGTTTAGCCCAGCCAGGTGCTTCTAGCCCAGTTCTCGCAACCTGGAGCTGTCAATTACTCAAGACATGATTAAGTTGGAACACCATTCTGCCACCTAGAGGACAGAGGGTGGGTGGTATGGTGTCCATGGAATTGCTGAGACATTGCCCTGAGACAATGCTGTCCAAGAAGGGGAGTCAGAGGAGCAATCCTTGAGCTGAGAGTTGTCAGTTTACTGCTCTCACTTTCACATTGTGAATTGTCACTGTTTTCTATCCAGTGGTTGGGAGAACGGGAAACTGTGTATCAATGAGGTAAGATTAATTAATAATAATGTGTTAGTACATGCTAATGCATGCAAATAGGCCTCTCACATCTCACTAGCAAGAATCTCGCTTGACATTCAACACTTTGTTATAAAATGGGTTTTTGCTCTTGACACCAAGGAATCTCCTTACTACTGACCTTTTCAGGATTTTCCCAACTTTCCCACCAATGCTGAAATTGTTCAAGGGCTGTAAAAGCTCATGCTGTGGTTAACAATGTAATGATGAGCAGAAACTCTGGCTTATGATATTATGTAGAGTGAGATGTAGATATTTGCCAGGTCGCTGGGGGTAAGACACCTGTAGGTACACCTACAATGCTGTTAGGAAGAGAATTTCAGGAATTTGATCCAACAATAGTGAAAGAACAACAATAGAGTTCCAAGAAGTTTTAGCAAATTGTTGCAGAGCAATTTCCATTATGGTACACATTGCTGCCACAGTATGATAACAGTAGAAGAATTAAATGTTTAAGGTAGTAGATGGGCTCCCATTTGAATGAACTGCAGTCTCCCGGATGGTGTTGAGTTTCTTGAACGTTGTTGAAGCTGTACTAATCCATATAATGTACAGGGAGTCAAATTTTCTGAAGAGTAGCATTTGTAACCCTTGGGACCTCAATAGGAGGTCAAGATAGATTATCTATTCAATGATCTGGCTGAAGCTGGTTGTAAATGTTTGACTAAATCCAGCATTGTTCCGATTCAGTGTGAAAATTGCAACTGCTTCGATCAGAAAATCCCTGGGTTTATAGCAATGCATCAAGTGATGAGAGCCCCAGTACAGAGGAGAATTTGAGCAGGATCTGGAACTATTAATTCACTATCAAGTAGATTCATAGGACTCAATTCACACAAGCATTTGAGAAGATTTTACTAAATCAGATCTCATAACACTGGTACTAAGTGGAGGGCTTCCTCCCAGACGAAATTTATTCAGATCTTAACTTCTTTGTATCAAATGATATGGATGAGAAGATCAAATACATATGCATGAGCATAAGTGGGACACCTGGAGTCTCCAGAGCATGGTTCTCGAATTTTATATTTGGTTCAGACCTCTTGTAAGGTGTGTTGCTCGGCATACTCCACAAGTAGTCAATCTACTACATTTTCTGTCCACCTCCTTTAGTCGATATTGCCAAAGGCATGATTCCCTGCTGATGACATTGAAAATAAGTCTTTTAAAACAAGCAACATAGGAACATAGGAATTTGGAAAGGCAGCAGGCAATTCAGCTCTTTGAGCCCACTCCACCATTTAACATGATCATGGCTGATCTTATCCTGCTCTCAATTTCACTCTCCTGCCCTCAAAGCCCGAAATTCACTTTTCATCAGAAACATATCTATGTCTTTCTTGAATCTATTGATTGATTCTGCACTCTGGGGCTGGGATCATTTGAATTAGCTTTGCTCGACATGTGCTCTGTTGGGACCTTCACTAACCGAAACTGATGTAAACCATAGAATCATACAGTACAGAAGAGGTCCTTTGACCCATTGAATCTGTAGAGTCAGAAAGTCAGATGGTCATACAGCACGGAAACAGACCCTTCACTCCAACCAGTCCATGCTGAATATAATCCCAAACTAAACTAGTTCCACCTGCCTGCTCCTGGCCCATATCCCTCCAAACCTTTCCTATTCATGTACTTATCTAAATGATTTTTAAACATTGTAATTGTACCCACATCAACCACTTCCTCAAGGAGTTCATTCCACTCGTGAACCATGCTCTGTCTAAAAGATTTGCCCTGCATGTCTTTTTTAAATCTTTCCCCTCTTATCTTAAAATGTGTCCCCTAGTCCCGAAATCCCCCATTCTAGGGAAAAGACAACTATCATTAACTCGATCTATACCTCTCATTATTTTATTAACTTCTTTAAGGTTTTAGCAAAGATTTGTAGCTCAGGTTGTGGATGAGGTTATTGACTCGCTTGCCGAGCTGTCTTATAAACTTCTATCAGGTTGCCTCTCAACCTCCTGTGCTCCAGTGAAAAATGTCCCAGCCTATCCAGCCTTTCTTTACAACTCAAATCTTCCATACCCAGCAACATCCTGGTAAATCTCTTCTGAACCCTCTCCAGCTTGATAATATCCTTCCTATAAGTGGACGACCAGAAATGGACACAGTATTCCAGGAGAGGCCTCACCAACGTCCTGTACAGCCTCAACATGACTTCCCAACTCCTACAGTCAAAGGACTGAGCAATGAAGACAAGCGTGCCAAATGCCTTTTTATCCATTTGTCTATATGTGATGCAAACTTCAAAGAATTATGTACCTGCACCTGTAGGTCCCTCTATTCTACAACCTACCCAAGGCCTTACCATTATTTATATAAGCCTTCCTGTTGTTTGTTGTGTCAAAATGTAATACCCTGCATTTATTCAGATTGAACTCCATCTGCCATTTTGATCAAGATCCTTCTGTAATCTTAAAAAAAACTTTCTTCACTGTCTCCTATGCCACCAGTTCTGGTGTTATCTGCAAAATTACTAACCATGCCTTTGATATTCTCACCCAAATCATTTATATAAATGACAAACAAGAGAGGACCCAGAACCGATCCCTGTGGAACACTGCTGGTCACAGGTCTCCAGTCCAAAAAGCAGCCCTCCACCATTACTCTGCATCTCCAGCTGTTACACTAAATCTACTTTGATCCCACTTGCCAGCATTATCTATAGCCTTGAGTGTACTTAGTATTCCCATAGCTGGTGACCAATGCAAAGGCCACCACACTTTGCTCTCAAGAACTTTTGTTAACTTTTGTTGACCTACAGGATTGGCTGCAACCTTATTTCCCACCCTATTAATTTGACCAAGTTACAAAACTGAGCCCCCTCCCACTCCCACATATGTTGGCTTTCCTACATCTGCCACAGTGTATGATAATGATTTTAACATATTGAAATGAAAAATTATTAAGCGCAGTCTCCTAATTAACCGATAGTAGATTTTGATTTTTAAAAATTCATAGTCAAACTATAAATGTCTGTTAAAATTATTTAAATTAAAATTACATTTATGATGCGTTTCTGTGTCAAGTTCTGATTCACAACTGTTTACAGCCTTACATATTCTTATATTAAAAAAAGGACGTATATAAACATTTTTCTAAGCAGAAGTCTTAAATTGTTCAAGGTATTTGGGTCAGTTTGAAGAGTACAATGTTAAATATCACAAGGGAGTAGTTCAATTTGGTGGCATGGTGGCTCAGTGGTTAGAACTGCTGCCTCTCAGCACCAGGGACCTGGGTTTGATTCCACTCTTGGGCGACTGTCTGTGTGGAGTTTGCACATTCTCCCCATGTCTGCGTGGGTTTCCTCCAGGTGCTCCGGTTTCCTCCCACAGTCCAAAGATGTGCAGGTTAGTTGGATTGGCTATACTAAGTTGCCTGTAGTGTTCAGCGATGTGTAGATTAGATGGGTTATAGGAGGATGGGTCTGGGTGGGATGCTCCAAGGGTCAGTGTGGGCTTGTTTGGCTGAAGGGCCTGTTTCCACACTGTAGGAATTCTATGATTCTCAGTTAAAAACAGCAGAGCTGTTCACAGGTTGTTGGTGAAGACTTGGCAGTACTAAAGTAATTTCACTTTTCTGAAACTTCTCCAGCAACTGAATTACCGTAGCACAAAGCAGTATTGAGATTATTCTAAACGACAGTTTTATTTTTGTTTTCCTTTGGAATTTCTCCAAGGGCCTGTGAAAAATTCACGGAGGTTGGTGGTGAAAATTCTTCACTTCCAACAAAAAAAAATGTAGTTGCAGTCTAACAGGTAATTTGGCTATAGCATAGGGGAAAAGAGAACTCAAGATTTACATAACTAAAGATATAGAGTTAATTATCACCAACTTTCTAAACCCTTACTTTTTAAAAATTCTCAATTTGTAGAGCTGTAAATTGCATTTGGATAAGTACAAGAAATGTTTGGAGGGATATGGGCTAAACTCAGGCAGGTGGGACTAATTTAGTTTGGGATTATGGTCAGCAGAGATGGGTTAGAAAGAAGGGTCCGTTTTTGTGCTATATGACTGCATGACTATTACAGCTTGGTTGATTTGATAGGATTTAAAACTGTAGAATTGTCACAGCCGTTGGAACTTTCCCTGGGCACTGGATGTTGGATCAAGTTGTCATTCTACATGAAAGAAAGAGAATTACTAATGTTAATTAACTCCAGCATGATCCACCTGTAAATATAATTCATTATATTTCAATGACTTATCTTACTGTTTCTGTGATTGATGGGGTAGGTTTGGTTTTGAAGATGTATTTGTAAATAGTGTGGACTATGGGAGAAATTAGACAAGGATCCAGATTCTCACTTCCACCTGTATCAGACATCAAAGTAAAACACACAGTATCATAAGGGATTCATTATAATATTGCCATTGAATACAAGATTGAGATCTATAGCTCCTGCATAACACACCAGTTAGATCCATAAGCAAATAAATTCTGGATGGCACAATCTATGTTCAATTCTAGGAAGTACACTTCAGGAAGATCATGAAGACTTAAGAGATGGTGCTGAGAGGAATTATTAGAATGACAGTAGGAACTAGGAACTCAATTGTATACACATGGGCAGTATTGTGGCTCAATGGTTAGCACTGTTGTTGCATAGCACCAAGGACCTAGGTTCGATTCCACTGCGGGCAACTGTCTGTGTGGAGCTTGCACGTTTTCCCTGTGTCTGCGTGGGTTTCCTCTGGGTGCGCTGGTTTCCTCCCACAGTCCAAAGATGTGCAGGTTAGGTGGGTTGGCCATAGTAAATTGTCCAGGGCTGTGCAGGCTAGGTGGGTTAGCCATGGTGACAGGGATAGGGTATGGGGGTTGGGTCTGGGTGGGATGCTCTTTGGAGGGTTGGTGTGGACTTGCTGGACCAAATGGCCTGCTTTCACACTGTAAAGATTCTATACAGATTGAAGAAGTTATGGCTGTTCTTCTTAGAGCATAGGATTTTGGAGATTAAATGGTGGTGTATTGTTAACATTTGGAATGCAACAGTGGTGAATACAGATTCAATTGCGACATTTATTGGGGAATTGCAAAAATTTTGAATTGGAAAACAATCAACCCTGCCATTTTGGCAGCTGTACCAAAAATTCAGCACACATTTGAGGTTGGATGGCTCCTTCTATGTTGTATCCATTCTATATATCTTCAGATATTCTAAAGCAATTCATGACAATATGACTTAATATATCATTGAGTTCTAGATGTCACTAGCATGGCCAGCCCATCTTTAGTTGCCCTCCAGAAGGTGGTGATGAGACACTTTCCTGAACCTCCTCTGCTCTCTGTGTGGAGAAGGTATCCCCCAAAACTGTTAGGTAGATAATTATACATTTTTAGCCCTTGTCAATGAAGGAATTGCAAAATATTTTCAACCCTCAATGTAAGTGATTGACAGGTAAATTTGAAGGTGATATTATTTCCATGCACATGTCACCCTATCCTTTCAGATAGCAAAGGGTGAAAAGTTGTGAGGTGCTGCTGAGAAAAGGCTAGGTGAGTTGCTGCAATGTATCTTGTTGCTAAAGAACATAGGAATATAGGTATAGGAAGTGGTAATACAGCTTTTTAAGCCTGTTCTGCCAATCATTGACATCATGGTTAATCTTCGCCTCAACTCCATATACCTCACTTTGCTTTATATACCTCAAAAACATTGACTAACAAAAACCCAATTTCTGATTTTAAATTAACAATTGATTTAGCACCAACTTCCATTTGCAGTGATGTGAAGGTGCCGGTGTTGGACTGGGGTGGACAATGTCAGAAGTCACACATTTACCAGGTTATATCCAACAGGTTTATTTGAAATCACAAGCTTTTGGAACGCTGCTCCTTCATCAGGTGAAGTGAAGTGAAGCACAGAGGCAAAGAATTTATAGGCAGAGAGATCATTGCAGATAATTAAGATAATTCCAGATAATTAAGGGTGTCAAAAGATAGTACAAATGCTGTGAGTGGAAGGTCGATAGGCTGAATAACAAGTCTTTGCAGGTGAGCAAAAGTGTCAGATGGTGTGAGTAATGTGTCAACAGCTGAATAGCAAGTGAAGGGATGACCCATGATCCGATTAATTGAGGCAAAGAGATAATTGCAAAAAATTAAAAATAAGGTAGTGCTGGAGACAAGCCAAATGGCTGGAATAACACAATAGGAATTAGATGAGGGTCTAATCAAAGTAATAAGCAATCCAAAACTGTACAAACTAATAAAGGTAGAAACCAGTTATCCAGGTGAAGGTGTTAAAACATAATAGTACGGAAGATTTTACAAACACCGAACAGTATGCTGCTTGGCAATAGTTGTGCAGTGGGAGACAATGGATGAAAAGACACCATGAAACTATCGCTAGGCAGGAATGTTCCCTCTGATCTTCAGGTAAGCATCCTCCTAGGTGGCCTCCGAGATACACAACAACGCAGTGTCGCTGAGCAGAAACTAATATCCAAGTTCCGCACCCATGAAGACGGCCTCAACCATGATGTTATGTTCATGTCACCCTATGTGTAACCCCACCACACTGTTCTGTATCTGTAACATCTTCCTTACTGTTCAGTTTTGACACTATCACCTCAATAACTTGTTACGGTCTCTCTACCTTTATTAGTTTGTACAGTTTTGGATTACTTATAACTTTGTATAGACCCCTATCATGCAACTCTTATACTTATCGTGTTATTCCAGCCATTTGGTTTGTCTCTAGCACCATCTTATTTTTTATTTTGTGTAATTATCCCTCTGCCCCAATTAATCAGATCATAGGTCATCCCTTCACTTGCTATTCAGCTGTTAACACTTTACACACACTGTCTGACACTTTTGATCACCGGCAAAGACTTGTTACTCAGCCTGTTGACACTCCACTCACACCATTTGTACTATCTTTTGACACTCTTAATTATCTGGAATTATCTTGCAATGATCTCTTCGCCTATAAATTCTGTGCCTGTGTGCTTCCCTCCACTTCACCTGATGAAGGAGCAGCGTTTTGAAAGCTTGCGATTTCAAATAAACCTGTGGGACTATAACCTGGTATTGTGTGACTTCCATTTGCAAGTAAGAGTTCCAATTTTTATCATCCTTTGTATGTAAAAGTACTTCCTAATTTCACTTCTACAAAGTCTGACTCTAATGTTTAGACCATGCCCCGAATCTTAGACTCAACAGTCAGTGGAAATAGTTTGCTGTCAATTATCTATTACCTTAATGGCCTGAAAATGTCATTGTTTTAACAGTGTGAATTCAAGAAACACAACTCTAGTCAGTGTAACTTTTCCTTGTAAATTAATCCTTAAGAGTCCAGATAATATATTAGTAAACCTATGCTGAACTTCCTCTAAAGCCAATATATCCTTCCTAAGGAATAGTGGCCAGAACTGTCCACAGTGTTCTAGATGTGGCCTTATCAGAAAATTGTATAACTGTAACAGCCATGACTGTTATAAATGGCAGAGCAGGTTCAAGGGGCTGGCTGAACTGCCTACTCCTGTTTCCAGTTCTTATGACTTCCATCCCCTTGTATTACCTGTAGAATTACACAGGATATGCAGCAGAGAAATTTTTGCCCAACCAGTCCGTGCCAGAGTTTATGTTCCATTTGAGCCTCCTCCCATTTTTCCTCATCTAAATCTACAAATATCAGGTTTGTCACCTTGAATGGCAAGCACTGCATGTGTGTAGTTACAAAAACAAAGTTGCTGGAAAAGCTCAGCAGGTCTGGCAGCATCTGTGGAGGAGAAAACAGAGTTAACGTTTCGGGTCCGGTGACCCTTCCTCAG